CACTGTAGCTTCTTTTGGGAAACCCAGCTCTACGCGCACGCCATCCTGGTTGGCGAACAGGAATTTGAGCCTTAACTCGAGCTCAGTGCTCCCCATGCTGCTCCGTGAGCTCTTCGTTCACGGCAAAAATGAGAGTTCCAAAAGCAAAAGTCTCAGTTGGGAAAGCAGCGATTGGACAAAATCGTTTCAGAGACATGATTAGGTGGCTATATTGAACAATGACTGGACCGATCCTAATCTAGCGTAGCCTGGGAAAAATGACAAAACCTGGGGTGATTCGCTTTTGTCGTAATACAAAATCTAACTCATAATGGGTTCGGCACGACGCTAAGATCCAGCGCTGCCTGAGGCCCCGATTCAACTTTCAGAAGATCTCCAGGCGGCACGCACACCACCGAAGTGCTCGCCACCCAGGGACAACAAAGGCAAGCGCTCCACTGAGAAGGAAACTGCTGTGCTGGAGTGGAGCGAGGAAATGGTGCTAGACCTGAAGCATCAGCGTTATGACAAGCTATCGCATCGGAGAGGCGTGGGTGCTATTAGGTCTCCACAGCCAAAAGAATAGAAGCTAAAGGTGGTGGCATAGCTAAAAGCTCAGCGGTACTGAGGACTGTGCCAAGAAAACCCGAGAGCAAGATTCCGTTGGTGGCTCTCCAGTTATTTTAAACACACCTACCCGCGACCTAATTGACCAATCAGCGATATTTTTAAACTTGACAGCCCGATACATGCACGGGACTCAGTGCCCGATGCCTGCACGGGCCTCAGTGTTTTTTTACTGGCAGTAAAGCGATTTTTCTCACAAGACTCGCAAAGGCCAATCAATCCTTAATACATTCTAATTTTTACACATCTAGTCTAGATTCTAGCAGCAACATTGGGCATCCAAGCACTGAGCCTCAATTCTGGCGGAGAGTGTCACTTCGAGGGGGGGGGCAGCGTTGGCATTGCTCACTTTGTAAAGTGAGCCTACAGAACCTGTAACGGGGTACAATCCAGTGTGCCCCATGCTACATAAAAGGATGACCCGTCACTCTTGTGGACACCTGGTACACGGTATCAGGTGTTCTCGGAGCCAGTCAGTGCATGACTACTTAGCTCCACTATAGGTAACCTCTAGTTTGTATGAGACCCAAGCTTATCTTACTTATAAATACATCAGTCTTAAATCTACTCTTCTAAGTAGCAAATCGCTCCCTTTGAGGCCGGGAACACGTGGACTAGCATTCACTCGGGTAGTTAATACCCTTCAGCACTTCCTCTGTGCAGGTGCTGTGTCAGTGCTGGTAGTGACGTCTATTCAAAGACGTTTTAAACGTCCGTGTGTTTTTACCCTTTTCAACGAACGTCTAAACCCATTTTTACAGACACCGGGACGTAATTACCGAAAGAAAGAATGACTAGATTTCAATGAACTATGAAGCTTTTCATGGGTCCACTAATAGGGTGATAGGGAGAAAGCTGTTGCCTTCGAGCCGCCAGCTGACGTAAATCACTACTGACACCAAGGGACCTGCGCTATCCCTGCGGCTGCTACGCTGGGTGCTACGCTCGCTGCATCCACGTCTAGCGCCATGCTTGGTGCCACTTTCGCTTCTACGGCGTCCAGGCCCACCCCTGCTTCATCGCTACCCCGGCCGCCAGCCGCGAACTCTGCGTTTTGGTCCTTCCCTGTACGAGGAGAGATGGCGTGTTTCTTCCAGATAGTAATAATAGTCAGCATCGACTGTAGCAAGTGCAGCGTCCAGCCTTCCCGGTAAAGGCGTTCCGGTTGCTCACGATAAAGCTGTTCGTAGTAGCTGAGCAGTACTCGGTGGGGCGCACCGACGTCCAGAAAGAGCTTGAGCACCCAATTGAACGTCGTAGCGTCAATCGCAGCAGCCGACGCGACACTTCCAGCGAACGCTCCCATACCCGATGATCGAATATACCACAGAGAGATCCACTCGAGCACGTCGGCCAGGAAACCCACAGAAAAGACAAAATCTCCCACACCAGTCGAGTCGCCGTGTCGGTCGTCGCCTTCCAGGTACAGCGACTTGCCCAGTCTCAAGATCTTGCACTGCATCTGGCCAATCCGTTTCTGCTCTCGAACGAGGAACCGCCTCAGTCCCGCTCGAAGTGTCCAGCAAGCCAGCCTTCTCGCATTGATCCACGGCGCCCAGTGCTACCAATTACAACGCAGTGAGTACGCAAAAGCAGGGCAAAACCTCGCTCTGGACAGAAAAACGAATTAGCAACGGAATTTGAGTTTCGTAAGGGATTGAAGCGGAAGATGCGGGTGCTGCATTCGAGTAGCGACAGCGCACCCAACACAATCTTCTCGTCGCTCTTACGGAGAAATGCACTAGTTGTAGAGGGGATACGTAGAGCAAATGTCATTCAGCTCATCTTCATCGCAGTTTATTGGGCACTTTCGCTGCATCATCTTGTAAGAGAATGAAATGAATATTTGGCAGAGAGGACAAGTGCAAGAATATCTTAAACAATTCAACTCAACAAGGAATTCAATACGGAACAGAATAAATGGTTTGTCAAACACTTATCTCCTCATTCGACGGGATCTCGACTACAGCGTACTTGGAAGGTAAAACAGATCAACAAGAGTCGTTTTTCGGCCGCGAAGTCCAGGGAGTTTTCTTGGCTCTTGAGGAAACCTAGTGTCATTGTATTCAGGAATTGGACGAAGACGGAGCTGCCGTTTGTCGTAGTCTTCTTGATTGCTCTCTTCATCGTTTTCAAGCATGGAGGCATCCGTCTCAGTGGAAGAATGCATCGGTGAATCGGAGATGTGATCAAAACTCTCGCACCAGTGAGACAGAATATCCTGGGCTATTGTATTGGATGACTCAGAAGACTCTTCAACCGGTGCACCGGCTTGTTCGGAATCAGCCGTGTCAACGTTATCGTCCCGGACAAATAAGCCCTCGTCGTTCGAATCCATGTTTGTAAACTCCAATGAGCGAAAACGAATTGACGTGCCGTGTGAGGGATGTTCTATCGAGCGACGCGAATATCGACGAGATGATGTGACAGAAGGACGTGTAACGGTGGAATGTGGACGGCTTGGCGTGACTTTCGACCGGTTTGGTGAAGCGAGTGGGAATCCGGGTGTGTCTGGGGGGCGGAAGGCAGCTTGGGAGAGATGGTTCGGGTTTGTAAATGAGTTTAACGAAGCTGGTAGACGGTTCGGTGTTCTACCTGTTGTTGTTGAGTTTGACGAGTGGTGTGAGACCCAGCAATCGCGTCGAAACTGGCGCTCCACAGACTTAATTATGCGACCTGCGTATTTGTTGCCTTCGCTATCTTCATCAACAACGTCGCCATCGTCCGCGTTCACACTTCCACTGAGTCCTCGGTCTTGGTTATCCAAGCGATCACGTTCCTTTACTGCTTGACTAGCCATAGCCGCCTTGTTGGTCTTGTCCGCTTTCAAACAATTTTGTGCTGGTGTGTGGATACGACCGAGAGCGCTAAAATATCGCTCACATGTAGCTGTGTTGGCGGCAATTGACAGAACTGCGAGAGCGAGGTCTGGTAAATTGGGACCCGCCGACTTACCTTTAGCATACTTCCAGTACTCGGCAACTGACGGGAACTCATCGAAGCGAAAGTGCTCAGTGCCGATGTACAACGTGCTCTCACACCACTGAACAATATGGTAACGAAGCATTCCATACTCACGTCCAGGGAAAAACCGCTTGAAGTAAAACACTCCAAAATTTGAAATCGAGTCAATCGAGGAAACACCTTTGTTAGGAAACGCTCTTGCCACTTCGAGGTATCCCGGATGTAAGAACACCGCCAAAAGAGTTAAAGGCTGCTCGCAATCGGCCCAGCGCTCTTCCACGAGCGGGATCAGCTCTTTAGCGTGAGGTCCAGCAACGAAGCTGTCAAAAATATCACGAAAGCACATCACTACGTCGACCAGTGTATTCTCGTCGCGCTGCAAGATGTAGGACGCATTGCATAGTGGCCGAATTGTTCGCTCTGCATCGGCCAAAGTGGACCAGAACACTTCATCAAGAAAAACGAGTACATCTTTTGGTAGATCGTTGGTAAATTGAAACCTCGCTGCAAATTGCCTTAAACCAGTCTTAACACGAAGCAGAGACGCAAAACATGCTTGCATCGAGTTCCACCTTGTATAGCAGAGAGAAAGAAACGCCAGTGGCTTGACCAGCTCATACAACTCCATCATAACAGCGTTTACTCGCTTAAGCCACTTCGACGATGATCGGTTCATTGCGTATACAGCAGCACACGCTTGGTCAGCAACAGATCGAAATCCGGTTCGCCGTAGGATGGCTTTCACCAAATTATTGATATCATGAGCGAAACACTTACCAAAGTGAATAGAGGGCCAGCGAACAGCTAAAATTCTGCGAGCACGCTCACATTGCCCGGCGTTATCGGTAATTATTGCTCCAATTCTCCAGCCTTTTTTCAGTAAAGCTTCGATCAGCGTCTCCATTTGGCGTGCGAGAGCTATGGCGTGATGCTCAGAGCCTACTTCGTGTAGCCCTTCGACAAGAACGAGTCCAAAAAGCGTGAGATGAACTCCGAGAAGATGAGTTCTCGAGATGTTTTGCCAAACGTCACTTAGCAGATTCAAACGCCCACCAGTGTCCTGCTGGCGTTTGCGAAGCTCAGAGCTCTTCGTAGCCACGTATTCACTTGCGTAATCGTTCATTATTCGTCCTCCCATTACACGGCGCGACGGGATATACGCCAAACACGCAGGGTTTAAAAAAAATAACAGTCGTTTGGTTGCTGGGCGCTCAACAAACGAGTCGGGTAACGCATTATCCACCTGAAACTCCAATAAAAAACGCTCAAACTGGCGTCGCTGGGCTGGAGTGTCATTCCGCTTGTACACTCCACTCACGCCACTTTCTGACAGATTTTTAGTAGACGGAGCGGCGGGATGCTGCAAACGACGGGGAGGTGGGGTACGCGGTGGGGATACTTCGAAAGGGCCATTTGGCGTTGGTGTAGGTGGGGCGGGCACGCTTGCAGGACCGCTAATTTTGTGAACAATACGTAGATGATTGTCGAAATTAGTCTGCCGTCCTGTGATAGGTGGTGACCAAGGGGATCCAGGGCCTGGATCAGTCTGGGGGTTTTCGAGCTGGCGTGCTGCCTCGCGTAAATAATGCTTCGCTAGACATCGTTTGCATCTGAAGGGATAGTGGGCCGAATTCACCTTTTTGCTACCCCACTGCACGAAATGCTTTCGAGCAGGACACCCTGGCCGACCCATCACGACTGCGCTTATACAACATAATGAGAACCCAGAGTATACACGCTAGTCGTCTTCGTCAACTTCGTACCAGGAGACTTGGCCAGTATCAGGAATGGGTATTCGGACCTTGGAAGATTGAGAACTGGTGAGCTCGCTCAGTTTCGAAAATCTTTCACGTCTTCATTTTAGAGAGGACGTGAAGATCCTGCGTCCATTAGAGGGTCCACTATTTGGGATGTTGAGCTACGCTTGGTTTCTGGTGAGCTGCTGCAAATTAGGTACACTGTACCCTTAAACGAACATTGATAGAGACAATAAAGACGTTCGAAAATGAAAAGACGTCTAAACTGGCGTAAATACACGTTTTTAATAAAAACGTTTTTATTCCCACTGCCAGCACTGCTGTGTCGGGGGGACTTTTGGAAACTGACTCGGATTTAGTATGTGGATGGGTCCCTTTAAAACCCGATTACTATCGACTTGTGCAGGCTTGTCAAAAATAGTTGAAGTCGGGCAGCAAGGTATAATACAGAGTGCTCGTATAAAACACAAGAGGAATATTCAGATGAAGTTTTCGAATTCTATTGAGGTGAGCACTCTATTTTCGTGAAATTTGTGTCAACTCTATCTGAAAGTTCTGTAAATTTGGTTAAATTGCAAGGAGCAATAATTTAACGTAAATCCATTTTCTCTCGAGTCTAGTGCTTGGATCGGTCATGAGTGGCAAGGGCGTGCAGAAGCAGCGGCAGAAGCGCAAGTCACTGGCTGAGGACTATGGCGGCTCCGTGGGTGAGGACCTTCTCGAGTACATGGAGAATGAGGAGGCGCCGGGCGGCGTGCAGCAGTCGGTAGACAGCGTCGGCGCCTCCAGCAACTTATCGCGTCGCATCCAGAACCGTCTGCAGAAGCTCAACGAGGTGGCGCAGTCCGCTGGTGGAGACGGTGAGGCCTCTGGTTACTACGACTTTTCCACCCTCGACATGAAGCCCGACCACGAGGCGCGGCCTGTGTGGGTCTGTCCCAATGGCCGCATCTTCCTGGAGGCCTTCTCGCCCATCTACAAACAGGCTTACGACTTCCTCGTGGCTATCTCAGAGCCAGTCTCTCGCCCGGAGTTTCTACACGAGTACAAATTGACTCCTTACTCTTTGTACGCCGCTGTATCGGTGGCCATCGAGACTGAAAGCATCCTTAAAGTACTGGAGAGATTATCCAAGAACCGCCTACCCGAGGGCATCGTGGCTTTCATCAAGGACTGCACACTCAGCTACGGCAAAGCCAAACTCGTACTGCATCACAACGAGTTCTACGTCGAGAGTCTGTATCCGAAAGTGCTGCGTAAACTGCTGGAACACGAACACATTCGAGCTGCGCGTGTGAAGGAGACAGCCGAAGATATCGCTTCCAACGCTTCTTCAGCCTCTGCGCCGCCCGTGGCGCCTGGCGGAACAAGACCAGAGGACGCCAATGAGTTCATTCAAAAGGATGTTTCTGCTGAAGACCAGGCCAATCTCCAGTACCAGAAGCTCCTGAACGAAGACTACAACGTGGCGGACGAAAACCACCTTGGAAAGTCGTCAGGCGACCAGCAAAAGACAGTGCGCACAGTGTCGTTCAAGATCCGGAAGACAATGGTGGAGCAGGTGAAGCGTGCGTGTCTGGATCTGGACTACCCGCTCATGGAGGAGTATGACTTTCGTAATGACAAGACTATTCCCGATTTGGAGATGGATCTCAAGCCCACGACGCGCATCCGTGAGTACCAGGAGAAGTCACTCAGTAAAATGTTCGGAAATGGTCGCGCGCGATCGGGTATTATCGTGCTGCCATGCGGTGCTGGAAAAACGCTCACGGGCGTCACAGCAGCTTCCACGATCAAGAAGTCGTGTTTGTGCCTCTGCACGTCAGCTGTGTCGGTGGAACAATGGACGTCACAATTCAAGATGTGGACGAATATCCCAGAGAAGAAGATCGCACGCTTTACTTCTGTGGCGAAGGACTACATCAACCCCGACTCGGGTGTGATCGTGACCACGTACACCATGGTTGCCTTCGGTGGACGTCGAGCTCGTGCGTCAGAGGAGGTCATGCAGCTCATCCAAGGCCGTGAGTGGGGGTGCATCCTACTTGATGAAGTGCACGTTGTACCCGCAAAGATGTTCCGTAAGGTCATTGGCTCTATTGCGTGTCACTGTAAGCTCGGTCTAACGGCGACTCTTGTGCGCGAGGACGATTTGATCGGCGACTTGAACTTTTTGATCGGCCCGAAGCTGTATGAAGCCAATTGGATGGATCTGACCCAGAGTGGATTTCTCGCTAATGTTTCGTGCGTGGAGGTGTGGTGCCCTATGGCCGGTGAGTTCTATCGCGAATATCTGCGGGAGGCTAAAAGTGCACGTAAACGTGCTCTGCTGTATGTGGCCAACCCGAACAAATTCACAGCCGCTGAGTTCCTGATCCAGTACCACGAGGAGCGAGGTGACAAGATTCTGCTCTTCTCGGACGATGTGTTTGCTCTGCGTTTGTACGCGACAAAGCTCAATAAGGGCTACATTTACGGCGGCACTGGAGAGCGCGAGCGCATGCGTTTGTTGCAGTCTTTCCGAAGCTCGCCCCTGGTCAACGTTATTTGCATCTCAAAGGTCGGGGATACGTCAATCGATCTGCCGGAGGCTAATGTGATCATTCAGGTATCGTCACACTTTGGTTCGCGACGGCAAGAGGCTCAGCGTCTGGGGCGTATTCTGCGCCCCAAGGCCAATGCTACAGGCGGGTTTAACGCGTTCTTCTACACACTTATCTCCACGGACACACACGAGATGTTCTACTCCAACAAGCGTCAGCAGTATCTTGTTGACCAGGGCTATACATTCAAGGTCGTGACGGATCTCTTCGAACCGGGGTCGTTCCAGGGCGTGTTTACGCGCAAGGAAGACCAGCGTGCATTGCTGAACGAGGTGCTGAGTGCTGATGTGGAAAGCGCCGCCAAGGATGAAAACGCTGCCATCCGCGATGACGAAGATCTGTCACGTCTTGAGCTGTCGGGCCACGGTCGCAAGAAGAAGAAATTGTCGTCGCTCGGAGCACTCTCCGGTGCGGATGGCACAAAGTACATGGAGTACTCGGCTGGCCATGGTGCCAAGCAACGTCACAACCTCTTCCGCGACCGATATCGTTAAAGTCACGGAGCCAAGTACTCGCTCGCAGGTGCTCCACCATCTCACATGACCACGTACTGCGTTGTGTGTATGCGACTTTTAGGCATTAATACTTCCTAGCCTATTGGACGGGTTATATTGCGCCAGTAAGTGAGGTAATAAAACTGATGCTGACAGTTTCCTCCTTCGGACATCACTGCTAGGGGCAAGTTGACTTGATTAGCTTGAAGAGTTAGACTCGTTGGAGTAAGGTCCTCCCACGGGACAAAACCTTATCAAAGGTGTAAAACCCGTCCTAGAAGGACCCTACTTTGCCAATCAAAACTAGAAGAAAAAAAAAATTCCTGGCCACCTGGTTGCTTCTTCTCGGTAGCTCTGCGCTACTTGGTCGTCCGGTGCTCTGAGCTCTGGGCGGCGAATCGGTGAATGGTCTGGATGCGCAACCCGGTTACGTTCTTCGTACTTAACCGAGCACTTTCCTCCTTCGGACATCACTGCTAGGGGCAAGTTGACTTGATTAGCTTAAAGAGTTAGACTCGTTAGAGTTCCCCTCTCGATTGGCGCGGGGCCTGGCTCGGCACGGTGCCGGGATCGTGGCATTCCCAAGTCGAGGCCTTGATCATACAGCTTTCCGCATCTCGGATCATTGCTGGTCTTAGTCTGGGTGTACACTGTGAAGCATCAACTGGACCACCGTCCCATTAGTCGGATGACTAGTTCGCTTTTCCCCGCTGCGAGAGGTGCACACGCTCCTCCGATGCGGAGTGAGTGGGCCGAATAGTCCTTCCTTGAGCGTTCCATGCTTGAAGCTGCTGCCTTGATCACCTCGCTCACACGAGACTTCTTGATTGTGCGTGTTATTGACACCGACGTTAAATATGGACCCAAGGTCCGACCAGATACGAGCCAATCGGCTCGGATCCTTAAACACTGTTGGACCGCAATAACTGGACACAGCACCTGGTGCTCAGCTCTGTAGTGGCGGACCGTGACGCCTTGCGCCCTTTTGTCTCCTTTGTGAGAGTCATATACCGCCTCTACTGAGGCTGCCCCTGGGGCATCGTATCCATCCTTGTTTCCACTCCGATCTCGTATAACCACATTGGTTGCCTTCACACAATGGACCCCGTCCGATCCAGTGGAACTGTCCACGACTACTGGTCCCCAGAGCTCTGAGCTCCTGTCGAGGAAGAAGAATCCCAGAACGATGGATTATCACAACATTTGACCTTCTGGGTCATGGTGGTCTATGAGCTCCCACATCTTGAGCAACATTGGTGTAGTAACTGGCTGTTTCCGATCCACTTGACTGTGGGTACGTTTGTAACCCTTAGCGATGAGCTCAAATTCCGGATCATGGTAATTGAGCCGGCCGTTCCGAACGACTTTGTGTGCAAATGCCACAGCTGCCATCTTTCCTTCGAATGTCTGGTACTTGCTTCCTTTCCTCGCTCGATTGTGCCCTTCTGAAGCGCACAACGCTGCGAATAATTCTAACCACCCGCGCTTGTAGTGCCTTGGCGCAGTTCGTCAATCCACACGGGAAAACCAAACTCGTTGCAGAAGGATTCCCAGAATTCGAAGTTCCTACTGTACCGTCCAAGCGTTCCTTCTGTGATGGACGCACGCTTGAGCTGATCCCGTTTATCCTTAACTTCCTGGAGTCTGGTTGTACCTGTTTCATACCACGTGTGTTAGTTTCTGTGTGAACATCGCACCTCGGAGTCTGCTCCATCCGAGTGTATGTCATGAAATGCATCTTGTAACGAGCCTGGCTCAATGCACACCGACGTAAGTCGTGCTGTCTGACAGGCGACTTGCAATTCATACTCTCGATCATCCTGGTGATCCAGCGACTGCTGTGAATCATGACGCGGCACCAGGTGCCTTCGACCTTCAGTTTCTGTCCCCACACGTATGTTACCGTAGCTAACGCCGTGGCTATTCCCCCTCCGTCCCAGATGGGGTCTTCGAATTCAACATGATACCTTTCTCTGAGGTGCATGCTTGTAATTGTCACCTCGTTTGTATCTGCTTCCACCAGCCATACCTCATCATGGCCCGATTCCTTCTCAAACCGTTTCATTGGTAAGCCTGCAAACTCGTTCTGAAACACCAAGTCGTTCCACCACATTAGGTCCTTCCGAAGGAATGCTGACATTGGAGCTCCTCGCTTGCCCTCCTCCCGACATCGGTTCTGAACCGCTGTTAAACGCTGTATGAACGGCTTAGTGATAGGTATAAAGCTGATGACATGGCGTAGAACACCTATGAGGCTGTCCAATCGTTTCATGGAGATGTAGGACTTCCCAATCGCGTCAGCTAACACCGCATGCACCTTGTCGATCTTGCGTTGAGGTACTGTGATGCACTCGTCTAGAATGCTTCAGTCATCCCCACCGCATGGAAGACGCTTGAACAGGTCGTGAACTTGCCCTCATGCCATCCATCCGATCCAAACACTAGTTTAACCCCGTCTCTGAGACGTTTTTCTGCTTGTTGAAGTCGATCGCCGAAGTCGACTTCAATGAGGACGATGCCGTCCACCCACTAGAAGACCCAGAAGGGCTCGGTGTGACCAAGCAGTATCGATGATCCTGTGCGCTGATAATGGCAGACTGCTTTCCCGAACACTACGAAGAATCCAGGGGAGGACGTCCACCCGAAAACAGCCATACCGGAAACTATGCCATGAGGACTACGCGGCAAGGCGCCCCCAAAAGCCGATGCATGATGTGCGTGGACCGGCACGTGATGAAATGCATCAGCGATATCCGCGATCATGGTGTAGATGTTGTACCCTGGGTACGGCCGACGGAGGTCGCAGACTCTGCGAGCAATAGAAACAAACGGCTCCCACGTTGCATCCGGCGAAGCCTCTGAGGCAGTCTGGGCGTTGACCGACTGGCCGTTCGGAGCCGACAAGTCGTGAATGATACGACCATCCACGTGAAGAGGCTTGTCCTTCTTGGGGACCAGGGCGAACGCGCTGCACTGGAATGCCGGGTCCCGGACCAACGTGGACATCCGAGCGACCAGGCAACGTCCTTTGTAATAATCTGAAAGCAGTTTGTTCTGGACAATTGCGGTGCCCGGAGCGGCGCCTGGGTAGCTCGCAGGAACCGGTCGTGTGCCCGCCCGCGATCTCGGGTCCGGAGTCAAACCCTCCTGGGCGATCTGACACAGTAACGCGAGCTCCGGGTACGACCCAAGATACTCCTGATACAACCACGGGCGTAGCGCTTTGTTCGGGCGGTAGTCTTCCGAAGTCTGATCGCGGGAGAGTTCGAGTGTACTAGCAATCCCCAGCTGGGGGTCGGCCACGAACGCGTCCAAGATGCGGAGGTCGACCTCTGGAATAGACAGCGGACCTGGCCCAGCTGCTAAAAACGCAATTTCCAACGGAATGGTATGTACCTACGGTAGGCCTCGGCCCGGAGCTGGGCAAACACGCTCGTCGGTACGCAGCGTCGAAGCTCTAGGACAACGCACGACCGTGTCGGGGCTGTGTCGAATCGGGAACGCATGGAGCGGGCCGATGTTTCCACCCTCTGGGGTGATTGTGAAAGTCGAGCTGCCGGGTGGCTAGGTCGATCCGCCGAGGTCGGTGCAAACCGAAGCCGAACCAAGTGCGAGACGGACATGAACTCCTGGATTACGAGGGACCAGGCTGCCAATGTGTGCTTCCTCGGGCTGGCCTCAACCGAGACAGCTGACGGGTGGAGCTGGGTCAGCGCAGTAGGGCTCTGAGCCGGCGCGTATGACGGCGGGCAAGGCCACTCGGAGCCGGTTAAGATGACGTCCGCCGCGGTAATCGTACCCATCATCCAGTTGCACAAGGCGTCAGACGCGATGTTGTACGCACGGCGCACGTGTTGAAGATAAAACGCAGGATGTCCGGTGCCCAGGGCACGGATAGTCCCGATCCAGGGTCGGAGCGAGGGTGCCCGGCACCTATTGAGCATCAGTGCCTGGTTGATAACGACATGGCGTTCTCAAAGCACTCGTTCGAGCAGTAGCTGATACGTTCCTCCGGTACACCTGCAATCTTACACGAGGCACAGCACATCTTGGCCACGTTCTGGCAACCCATGCACGAGCACGAGTACTTGTTCTTATACTGACGATCTTCATCGTCGAAAAAGAACGGGAGCGTAGCGAGAACGAACTTCGGGTGCGGCTGCATGTCCGAGTCCAGTAGGAGCATGTAACGTCCATTGGCTCCTTCATTATACAGGCAGTTGTTGATGTTACCAGCCTTTGAGTAGTGCGTCTCGGGCTTCACACGGCCAACATATGTCACGTGCGGCA